AAAAATAATTAAAAAAATATTATACAAAATCGCTGGTAAAAATATTAGCTATTGCACAGTTTTTAATCGTACAATATTATAACTTCCAGTTTATTACTCGCTGACTTTTTAAAATGAAAAAATAATTATTTGAAAAACTTTAAAATATATATTTGAGAAAAAAAAATTAATGAGTAGCACATTTTATAATCTTTTTTAAATGTTTAGTTATGTTTTTTACTCGATAAGTATAGACAAAGCGTGTCAAACGTTGAGAAAATAAACGTAAAAATGAAACATTTTAAAACATTTTTAAATAATAACATTTCTACATTGATGTCTTAAAGTAATTTTGCGGTATTTAAGTAAATTGGTGCAGTTAATATTGATAAATATGAAAAGCAAATAAAAAGAATTTGATGACGTCAAAAATCACGTCGAGCTTATGCATCGCGCAGTTTTTATTCATCACAAGGCCTGTTATTGCTAGCTAAAGTATAGCATTTTGAAAATTGTTAATTATTTTCAAACTGTAGCGATATTATTACGCAAAAATAAATCAAAAATAGATCAAAACATATGCCTTTTTAGGCAAAGGCTAGGGGCTCTTAGTTGAGTAAAGGCTAGAGATGGTGTCTCGATAAAAATACTCATCTTGGGCAGATGTTAAATGCATCCGGCTGCTGTCTTGTAGAAGGCCTCCTAGGCAAGGACTTAAGGGGTAAACAGATTCTATCTGTTGACCAGCCTCGCACCCCTTCTCCATCTATTAGGCTAGCGTAGATGTATTTTTGATACATTGTTTCCAGTTTAGGATGTTGAACGCTGGATCTTCTTGACTCGATGCTTGGGTTTTGCTTGTGTCTCTGTTTTTATGACTAGGCAACTCATTCTATTATCTCCAAATGAGGGTACAGCTCTAAAACTCAGTTTCATGATTCTGAGGCCGGCTGGTAGTTAGGTTTCCCGAACTCTGTGGTAGCTCTCAGAGAGGCTGATTCCATCAACAGCTGAAAAATATTAAAGTACTAACAGTGCCATGTTGCGCATGGATGGTGTTCCTGTTTGAACTTTTGGTGTGCATTGACAAGGCCACATTGGAGCTCTTTGTTACGGCTTGGAGTTTATTAGTGGAAATGAGGCAATTGCTTGGGCTATAAAACAGTGTACTGAGTACTATCTATGTTTTGAGTCAAGTTCTTTAACAAATTTAAAAATGAATAAAGTAACAAAAACTATAAAACACAAAAAAACCACAGTCATCACCGAGATCGCTAAACCTATCATTCACCAATATTCGTGGTCTTCAAAGTAACTTTTCTTCTGTTGAGTCTTTGATCCCTTGCAAAGTTCACCAGACCTACTTGCTCTTTGTGAGACTAACTTGAGTTCAGCTGTCTCATCTTGTGATTTTAGTGTTGATGGTTATCTTCCTTTAATTCGTAAAGACTCCAATAGTCACATGCTTGGCCTAGGCATTTACATTCGTAAGAATTCACCCATTTGTCGGGAAACTAGGTTTGAATCCACAGACTACTCCTTTATGTGCTTTCGTTTAGCACCACTTCACTCTATCACCTTTCTCTTTGTTCTATATTGCTCTCCTTCATCTCAAGACTGCACTCTTTTTGATGTTATTTCTGATTATATTGACCAAGCCCTCATTCTTTATCCATCAGTCAATATTGTTGTTGTCGGTGACTTTAATGTTCATCACACTGAATGGCTCGGCTCTAGTGTCAGTGACTCCGCAGGCATTAAAGCCCACAACTTTTGCCTTTCTCAATCCCTAACTCAAATAGTTAACTTTCCAACTCGCTTTCCAGACAACCCGAATCATTTACCTTCTCTACTCTACTTATGTCTTGTTTCTAATCCTAGTCAGTGCTCAGTTTCACCACACTTACCCTTAGGTGCTTCTGATCATGGTTTGGCCTCTCTAAAACTATTATCTCATTCTTCTTTACCATCAGAATCCCCCTATCATTGTACATCTTACAACTACCTTAAAGCTGACTGAGACTCATTCCGTGATTTTCTTCGTGATGGCCCCTGGGTAGAAATCTTTCGTCTTCCTGTTGACAAAAATGCTTCTTACATAACTTCGTGGATTCAGGCTGGTATGGAATCCTTTATTCCCTCTCAACGATTCCAGGTCAAGCCTCACTCTTCTCCATGGTTTTCCTCACATTGTGCTACTGCAATTGCTAATCGAAACCATTACTTCCATACCTATCAGCAAAACAATTTTCCAAAAAACAGACGTCTGTTTATTACTGATAGGAACCATTGTAAAAAGGTTTTGTCTAACGCCAAAGCCCGCTATTCTCAGATCATGAAATCTCGTATTTCATCACAAAAATTAGGCTCTCGTGACTTCTGGAGAATCTTTAATAGTATCATTAATAAGGGCAAGTCTGTAATTCCACCTCTTTTGTACGGTTCAGACTTTGTCACCTCACCTAAAGACAAAGCTGAATTGCTTGCCAAGAACTTTTCATCAATATTATCTCTTGATTCCACTAGTTGCGTTCTACCTGATATAGCTGTCAAACAGGTTGATCCACTGCTCGACATCCGTATCACTCCAGCTTCTGTATCTAAAGTGATTTTCTGCTTAGACTCTTCTACAGCTTGCGGCCCGGACAACATACACGTTATAGTCTTGCAGAAGTGTTCTCCAGAGCTGTTGTCTATCCATTCAAAACTATTTAACAAGTGCTTATCAGAGTCTTGTTTTCCAGCCTGCTGGAAAGCAGCATCTGTTATCCCTATTTTTAAAAATTCTGGAGAGCGATCCGATTCGTCTAACTACCGTTCCATTAGTCTTCTTCCTATCGTAAGCAAGGTTTTTGAATCTTTATTTAACAAACACTTAATCTCGAATCTCGAATCTCATAACCTACTTTCTGATCATCAATATGGATTTTGATCTTCTCGTTCTAAGGCTGATTTGCTAACCGTAATAACCGATAGGTTTTATCGTGCATTAGATAAATGTGGAGAGGTTAAGGCCATCGCTCTTAACATTTCTAAAGCGTTTGATAAAGTTTGGCATGCTGGTCTTCTCCATAAGCTTTCTTCTTACGGTGTATCTGGAAACATCTTTAAGATTATCGAATCCTTCCTTTCCAATTGTAGTATAAAAGTTGTCCTTGATGGACAGCACTCTTCTTCTTATTTTGTAACCTCAGGGGTTCCCCAAGGTTCAATCCTTGGCCTAAACTCTTTTTAATTTACATTAACGATCTTCCAGATTTTCTCACATCTAAGGTGGCATTGATACGCTGATGATACTACCATTTATTCTTGTTACGATAAGAAGCCAACTCCCTCTGATTGTTTGGAGGGGGCATTTGAGCTTGAAAAAGATCTCACTTCTGCTAAAGCATAAGGCTTACAGTGGCTGGTAAACTTTAATTTAGATAAAACTCAATTTTTTTCAGCCAATCATTATGCAATAATTTAGACCTTTCTATATTTATGAACGGTAATGTACTCGATGAGTCATCTACCCTTCATCTTCTAGGATTAACTCTTACTTCTGATCTTTCTCGGAAACCATATATTAAATCCTTTGTAAAATTAGCATCTGCTAAAGTTGCATCTCTTTATCGAGCTTGACACTTTCTTACTCTGGATTCTATTCTATATCTCTATAAATCGCAAATCCAGCCTTGTATTGAATACTGTTGCCATGTCTGGGCCGGATCTTCTAATGATGCCCTTTCTCTTTTAGGCAAGGTGCAAAAACGCATTGTAAACATAGTTGGACCTGCTCTTGTAGCCAACCTTTAACCATTATCACATCAACGTAATGTTGCTTCTCTTTCTCTTTTCTACAAATACTATAATGGGCACTGCTCTAAAGAGCTAGCATCTCTTGTGCCATCTACTAAAATTCACTCTCGTTACTCGTCATTCAATTAAGTCTCATCCTTTTTCTATTACTGTTCCTAAGTATTGGAGTACTTAACTCTTATTTGTCTGGTTTTTTTCCTCAACCATCAGTTCTTTGGAATTCGCTTCCTTTATCATGCTTTCCTGATTCATACAATTTGCAATCTTTTAAGTCGTCTGTCAATTGTTATCTTGCTCTACAATCTTCATCTTTTCTCTTCCAGTAACTTTCAACACTAATTAGTCGTTGCTTGCAGCCTGGTTGTAAGCGAAGATGTTAAAAAAAAAAAAAAAAAAAAAAATTAATTTAATCAGGTAGCCAAAAATATGATAAAAATATTTTTGTTATAAATATTTTTAGACAAAATCATAACAGTATGCATATTGGTTTAAATCATAGCTTTTAATTGCTAAAACAAAAACAAAAAAAAAAAAAAAATTCACACACAGAAATGGAAACCCCCAAAATTGATATTAAAAAATTGAAAATTGTTAAATTTCACAGATATAGATTAAAAAAATGAGAAAAAACAGAACCAGTGCTAGTGGAATCGTAAACTCCTGATGATTGAATTAAAGTAATTTGGCCAAAAATTAAGATTATTATTATTAATAATCTTGATTTAACCTCAGTGCAACTTGATTTTGTCAAAACACCTTTAAATCAAAAAAATGAATTAAAAATTAAATTAGAATGTGTCAGTAATTATAAATTAAAAAAGAATGTGTCAGTAATTATAAGTAATAATTTTTTTAAATGTCTTAACAGTTCAACTAATTAATTAAAATCAAACTACTTCAAAATTTTGTTACTCTGGCCTAAGTTATTAAATAAACACTTTACAACAAGCTAATAACTTTTTCAGTTGATGTTTGCTGAAAAAAACACAAAAGTTGATAAGTTTACCTATAACAGACATGAAAAATTAGTATCTGGATGTTTATTTGATCAAAGAGTAATTCAAAATATTGATTTAGGGTATTGACATTTTCCAATTAACTTAGGACTAAATTTTTCAGATTCCTTCCTGGAGAAGTTCTTGTTTAAGAAACTCTGCGTAAGTATAAAATCTAAAAATCTTTCTGTAATAAAAACCAACATAATATATATTTATTTTTACCGTTTTATGATTACTACTTCTTGATATTTGCATTGCCAATTTATTATATAACAAAGCTGAACATTCATCAACAGTTTTCTTAAAGTTAGCCTTTACACATTCCCAAGTTTTCTAAAAAAAGAAAGTGATAATTTTTAGTTTAGTTTTTTTTTCAAACATTTTTAAACTTGTACGTTAAAAAAATGCATGATCATAATAAAATTTAACAGGAATTTTTTTGCATTTTTTCCAAAAATAATTACAACCAAAATTACTATTTACAAAAAAATTCTTATAAAGATTTACATCACTAACTTCTTCAAGAGACAAATTCTTTAAAGATGCAGAAGGATCTTCATAAATTTTGGAACCAGGATTTACTGCTAAGACAATATTATTCTCCAAACTTAACTTTTTCAAAATATTAAGTATTTCCTCATCAAACTTTTTGTGAGAAGGGCTTTGGTTAAACCATTTATGCCAATAAATAATGCTTGACACACCAATAATACTGCTACACCACTAAAAAAGATTTTAAAAAACAAATTGAACTATTTAAAAAAATAGTAACAATAGTGTGTATTATGGTGAGCAAAAACTTACTATATAAAGATCTTCTGAAGTCCTTTTAAATGTAAAGAATTTTCTCTTCTTGATCTGTTCTCCAAATTCATTGGAAAAATCTTTTTTTTTAAAGTTTGATCTTAAAATATCTTCATCTATGGGTTGATTAACTGCAACTGATCTAAAACCTTTTTTTATTAATAAAAAGTTTAAATATATATATATATATATATATATATATATATATATATATATTTATATATATATATATATATATATATATATATATATATATATATATATATATATATATATATATATATATATATATATATATATAATTATATATATGTATATATATATATATACATATATATATATATATATATATATATATATATATATATATATATATATATATATATATATATATATATATATATATATATATATATATATATATGTTTGTGTGTAAATTTTGCAGTATTGGCTAAAAAAACGCTATTAACAAAATAAGAAAAGAGTGAAAGAGACTTACAAGGCTTATTAGGTAATAAAGAAAGTATTCTTCTGAACATTATATGAACTATAAAATAAAAAGTTTAATTATCAGTACAGTAAAATAATATAAAAATAAGTCATTATTTGGCACCAAGAAAATTTATTAACATTTTTTTTCTTTTACTTCGATTTAACTGTATATCATTTAAATACAATTAAACATATGGATAAGATATATTTTAATTATATTTTCTATGTATTTGAATTATACATTTTAATCCACTATTGAAAATTCTATAAAATCTACCACTATTTACAAAAAAAGTTAGACTAATTTTTAGACAGATACACTAAAAGAATGTGAATGACAAGTCAAGCAAGAATGAGTTTTGGTTGATGGAACTAGAAATGATAGCTCATGGGTACCTTAATAGTACTTTTTATAAAAAGATAAAGATGCAACCTTACAACAATGGGACACAACTTAAGCTTGACAAATAAAGCAGATTTAACTACATTTCTAAGGCATTTTTAAAATTTTGTCTAGAAGAGAAAAAGCATCATTAGAAGAAACAGTCCAAATATGATAAACCTATTCTATACAGGGACAAGTAAAAAATTTGTAGAAGTATAGAATGGAATCAGGAGTAAGAAAATGGTGTGCATAAAAAAGAGATGCAACTTAAGTAGATGCTAACTTTGAAATTGATTGTATAAATGGTTTTCATGAGAGATATGTAATAAATGATAATTTAAGAAGACATACAAGTAGAGGACTCAGTGAGAGGGTTACCTTTCTATATAAGAAAACATAAAGATGAGAGAGAGCTCCAAAGCATTGATGTACAGGAAAAAAAACTAAACAAATAAGAGTTTTTAGAGCATTAAGCGACAGATGCAGTAAAAGGATGTTGAATGACAACTTAGCAAAGTAGCATCCTGTTAATAATTCTTATATTCATTAATATAGAAATGTCAACAATATTACGATTGTTATTTGCATTAAATGACTTAGTTTTGTTTGAGTTAAAATTTACAAGCCACTGTAACCCTCAAGCTGTTATAAAAATGAGATCAGATTCAAGATCAGCAGCCAAAAGTAAATTGTCTCTTATTGATCAGTAACTGATCAAAAACAGACAACATTACTGGGATGATGGGACTGGGATGGTTAAATCTATTTACATAGTATAGAAACAGAATAGTTAACTTAAAACTCCTAATTTTTAAATTTAAAAACAGAATGATTTTTTTTTTCTTCAATTTTGTTGTTGTTGTTATTGTAGAAAACCTTTTAATATTTAAATGTTATTGATTTATTATAATATGAATATCATAATAATTTACTAACAGCCTAAATTACTAATATAAATATCATAACAGCCTAATTAACTAATATAAGTATCATAACAGCCTAATTTATTAATATAAATATCATAACAGCCTAACTTACTAATATAAATATCATAACAGCCTAATTTACTAATATAAATATCACAACAGCCTAATTTACTAATATAAATATCATAACAGCATAATTTACTAATATAAATAATATCATAATATTGTAATATAACAATATGAATAATACCATAATATATCAATATGAATATTACAATATATAATAAATATCACAGAAAAAAACACAAAAAAACTAACAGTTTTATTTGCGTTAATAAGGTTAAAAAATAAAATAAAGAGGTAATCCACTGTTATTCAGAGTGGTAGCACTCTGAGCCAACAATTGCAAGTGCATCTGCTGAAGTTACCAAAAACATGCACATATGGTTTGGAAAAATATCATTAATTGTTTCAGTTTTTTAAAGTAAATTAAAGCTCTTGCAGTTGCCTCGACAACAACAGCAAATAAACCCACAACAATATTCTTATATGCACAAGTAGCATCAATTAGGAAAAATAAAACAAAACTAAAAAGAAACTGAAGTGGTAATAATGGTTAAAATACCTAATGAATTTAATAACAAAAAAAGAATCGAAAACAATATTATAAGTGGAGTTGATCTGATCAAACCAGTATGGACAAATAAAAAAATGAAAAAAACCCATAAACAAACAATTGAAACTATATTAAAAGTAATTAAGCCTGACTGTTCAATAAAAAATGCAAAAAGAATAATTTTTCTAACAAACCATACCAAAAGACCAGAAGGACCACCTGACCTCATCTTAGATGAATTGGGAAACAAAGAAACAAACTTTTATGACAATGAATTCCAAAAAGTTAAAGAATAATATCAATAACAAAAAATTTTATATTAAATAAGATAATATAGAAAATGAGAGATTGTTTAATAGTGAGCTAAGAAAAAATTGAAACACTAGAAACAAAGTACTTATGAAAATCGAGGAAACAAATGGGAGGCAACAGTACAATGTGCACAATGGAAAAAATACTATTAGGGTATACAATCAGGTGAGCTCAAATGGATTGAAATTAAATCTGCATAAACTAAGTAGAAAAATAAATTATATAAAAAAAGAACCTTGCCAGGACCTTTTGCACAATCTACACTAAACTAACAAAAACTTAACTCAGCACATGGTAATCAAAAAGAAACACAGATTATTGTCAAAGAAACACTCCATTCAAATAATCCTAAAACTAATTACACAATACCAGAAACAAAATATAACACAAGTCAATATTTTGCAAGCAAACTTGAAAGTAAAAAAAAAAAAAATCTAAAAAAAGACTTGTTACAATCCCAAAATCTAATTTCTTTATGGAGCAATTACAGAGGGAGCTGTAGATATTTTTGCAACATTTGGTACAGTCACTTCCACTGATGTTTCACATGTAATCAAAACTCTCAAACCTAAGACATCGCTACTCTCAGTATATTATTCTAACAAACACTCTTAAATCATGTTCAATATTATTTAGTTCAATTATAACTCACTATGCTGACCTCTCATTCAAATTTGGAATTTTTCCATTCTCATTCAAGGTTGTTTAAATTACACCAATTCCTAAAAAACCAAGATAAACAGTATTTAAACTCATTAATCTACACCCCATATCAAATCTCAATACAATATCCAAAACTCTTGAAAAGTTTGCTTTATTTCGGCTTCTTCCACATGTAACTTTAACTGTAAACTTCAATCCTTTTTAATCTGGTTTTAGGTTTAAATCAATCAACAGAAAAACATTCCTAAAGATATGCAATGACATCCTGTTAAACATTGATGATGCTTTAACCACCATTCCCCTCTCTCAGGGCATATCTGCAGCGTTTGATATGATTGAATACAACCTGCTAATTGCTTATATAAAAGATGAATTTGGTGTCATAGGTATTGCAAAGATGAATTTGGTGTCATAGGTATTTAATAAAATCACTTAATGTGATAATGCCGTCACAAAATGGTTTCTAGAATATGGACTTCTGCTTAACCCAAGCAAAACAAAAGCTATCTTATTTGGATCTAGGAAAAAAACTGGACAATTTAAAAGTGATCCTAAAACAATATTCCCTGGAAAAGCACTAACTACAGTAAATTCGGTGAAAAACTTGGGTGTCACCCTAGATTGAACACTCTTCTTAGACCAGCGTTTGAGTTTTTTAAGATTTTTTTTATAAGAAATTTATAAAAGACTGTAACAATAGTCAAGTTGAGAGTTAACAATCTTACAAACAATTGTGTTAGCTACTTCTTTGGTGAGACATTGACGCATGTAGCGAAGAGCACAATTATGACAGTTGCAGGATTTAAGTGTTGTTTGTATGACACAATTGCTAGTAGCATTGCTAACTCTCAACTTGGCTGTAACAGTCTTTTATCAGGTTATTACAAAAACAAAAATCTTGCATAGTTTCTCATTTTCCTTTCCATTTAAAAATCAGAAAAATTGCCAAATATCTCTTTAATGGTTACCAATCCATCAAAGAACAGTTTATAAAATATCATTTATTACATATAAAACTCAAATATGGAATGGCTTGTCTATAAACACACATAACTCAACCATTTTAGAAACTGTCAAATAAAGACTAAGATTCGAACTTTTTGCAGACGCTTTCAAGAATTTATAGTAAACCTTCTCAGTGCTTTTAAATTATTTCATCACTATTGTGATTGTTGTAAATGATGGTACTTTAATCTCTGATTATTATTATTATTATTATTATTATTATTATTATTATTATTATTATTATTATTGTTATTATTATTATTATTGTTACTATTGTTATTTAATAACAATAGTTATTTATAATAGTTATTAATAATAACAGTTATTATTATTACCATGTGAACTATTTATATAACTATTCTTATTTATTTAACTATTAATTATTTAACTATACTTAACAAAATTTATAAAATTATTCAATCTGCTGTTACAAATTGGATATAGTACCTGATGAATGAAAAAAGTTCACTAATATTCCAAAGGTAATGTCACATGCGGCACTTCAAGGTAAAAACGATACGATACGATAAAACGATAAACGATAATTTTCATTTACTCGACTAGATTATTTATTTTACTAGTCGAGAATAAAAAATATCGTAATAGCAAAGCTAATCCCCTTCGTACCGAAGTACTACTCATACGCTAAATAGGCGGAGCCGGAATTTGAACCTCCAATCTTGTTGCTACGGCCAATAATTATTCTGATTTTTTTTTTATTATTATTTTTTTTTCTATGTATTTTTGTGCTCAAAGAAGTCCTTACGGTCTTATATAAATAAGCACCGCGGAAGAGCATTTAAGTTCACGCCTTCTTCCGTATCAATGTCGCTTGTTGGGCTAGAGCTGGCGTCGAACTTAGGACATCTGGGTTCTGAGTCAGAACTCTAACCACTGCACCACGGCTGCTCGTGATGTACGAGGTACGAGAGATACGACATACGAGAGATGCGAGATGCGAGACCTATCAGGTAGGTATATGAGACCTATCAGGTATATGTATGCGAGATACGAGACCTATCAGGTATCCACTTATGAGACCTATAACAGTAACCATATATATTTCTTATAATAACAGAAATCTTTTATTTTTCCTATATTAAGCAAAATACAATATGGTTGGCTAAACTCAAACTGATATCTAACTATTTGAATGGTAACATTGATGGCATTGGGGGCTTCAGCCTCCTTACTTTAAAAGCGTAGGGGTTTTTGGTATTGTTGCCCCTTCTCTTCCATTCACTTTTAAAATTATTATTTTAAATTGTTTTATCTTGTTTTATATCACGTCTTCAAACCGCTAGAGGGCAATTAACGTTTTGTATTTGAAATGAAATATTATTGTGTTTGCTTCAAATCACGTTTTCCAAGTTTCTATTAGTGTTTCGTATTTAAATTAATGACTTTATATGTATACATAAGGACATTTTCACATAATTCACAACTCCTAATCTTACGACTTATATTTCCTAATGTTTGTGAAAATTTATAATGGAAGCGTCTCATAAAAGACAACGGACACCAATTTCTTTCTTTGTACATAACAAGCCTTCTTCAAATACAACTGTATCAATGAAAGAAAATAGTCAGTAAAGAAAAGATGTTAAAAAATTTTTACTGCTTGTTCGTGCTTTAAATGGAATGCGGAAAAAACAAAACAAAAAATTATGCCGATATTGAAGTAACCTTCTGCAATTATCAATAAACACGAGTACCCTGAAGGTGACCAAAGACCCTATATTAAGTCCCATGAATTTTTTTTTTGATTTTAAATATAGTACATTTATACATTCTGAAACTATCAAAATTTAAATCATTTTTTGGTAGCTTTTTGAGAAAACTTATTAAGAAGTTTTATAAATAACGATGTTTTTGTATTAAAATAATATTTTTCCGTCAGCCATTATAGTTGTTTACTTTCTGTAACTGCAACAGTGCGGTTGGCTATATTAATATTTGTTTATTTCTTTAACAATATTTATTTGTTTTAAAAGACTTTAACAACATTTAAGCAACAACAGCGAGTTTATTTAATTATTTAAGTAAAAAATTTATATCAACTTAAATTTAAGAGCCGATTGAAAAATATAGATTTCTCGAGAATAGAAAAGAAATGTCATACTTTGCTAAAGATCAAAACGATTATTTAAAATGCTTTTGCATATGCTGTATAAAATTTTGCATATGCTATATAAACAAAATTAATGACTTAAGATGTATTCAAACCAAATGCAATAAACCAGGTCCAAAACAAGAAATAAATTATGAAAGTCTTATTAAGTAATTTTTTTGGGAAAATTACTCTGTTGAAAACTACAATCTGCCTAATATATTATGTACTTATTGTAGAAAAAATCTAGTGAGTTTAAAAAAAAAAGATTCAAAAATGATTTTTATTCAACATTCGACCGAAGTACAAAAGTTAGTTTTATAAAAAAAAATAAGCCAATAAAAACTAATTATGTTTTGCATTATTATTGTTGTGCTTATAAACAATATTGTATTTACACTAAAAAAACAACTTCATATTACTTTTAGATCTTAATTCTAAAATTGTTCTAGGTGAGAAATGTGAGTGTTTTATTTGTGTTAATGAGCGTAAAAATGGTACTGAAATAGCAACTCTTCCACGAATGGTATAATGTGAAACTAGTACAGATATAGATCATAATCACTAATTTAAATCTTTCCACAATCAATCAAAATTTTATTCTATGCAGAAGTCGTTTTCAACAAATAAAAAAAGGTATTAAACTTCCTTGCACAAAGTTAGCTAAGCAAAGGAATTTGACGCATTGTACAATCCAGCTTACCTATAACAACAAGAAAAGTTTTATTAACTACAATTAACAATTTAGTAAACCATGACGCAAAAATAACGCCGAACAATTTTGGCCCTAAGAAGCTCGTTGTTTCTATTGGAGTAGTTAACCAAAAACAACTTACTTTTCACTCTCAAAACTGAAACAACTACAGAGCAAATTTCATACAGTGTATAGATTGTCTACTACAAAATTCAAAAAATATAAATTAATTTAAAAAACATTAATTTTTTTTTAACATTTGTATTAAATTTACTAGTGACTATAAGATGTTAGAAATTGCCCGACTTATATGAGTGAAAGGAGGAAAAAAATCTGTCAAATCTTGTTTTTATAAAAAGTTAACATAAGAAAACAAAAATCTATTGTTTTTGTTTGGTGCTGAGCTTATGCTTAGATTCAGTCTAAACAGGATACCGGTGATAATAAAAAAGTGGTATTAATAAATAAATATATATATGTATACAGTGTTAGTGTTTTACTTTAATTAGCATCACTAAAAAGCTCTATAAAAGTAATATATTATAACAAATATATTATTTTATGCTACTGAGTAGGATATATTGGCGCAATATTGTGTACACACTTTACATGCTAAAAACAATATCGCGCCAATATTTTTTGCTACTAGTGTTATAATTTTATATTTTGATTAATTTGAAAGTTGATAGTTTAAAATAAATCATTATCATCGGACCTAAAGTTGTTTTTTTAATATTTAGTGTATTAAAAGAACTATTCCTCGTGTAATAAGCAATAATGTTGATGAGCTCATTGCAACAGTTTTACAAAATAAATCCCTTGAACCAGAGAATGTTGATGTTAAGATTAGGGTAGATGGAGGGCAAGGCTATCTAAAGATTACCTTATCAATTGCATTAAAGTCAGAACTATTAACATATTCAAGTTAAAAAAAGAGTCAAATATTCTCAGGAGTATAGATGTAAAGATTTCAAGTACATTAATGTTCACAAAACTTTAGATTTGGTGGTATTACTCTCTGTTGATGAAAAAAGATAGCTAACTTTTAAAAAGTGATAAATTAGTCGATATTCTAACTAATTGCTATCAGAAGTTATTTATAAATATGATCCTCAAAGAGTCAATCCAATAGATCTTTGGGTGAGTCAGAAGGGTATTAACCTCTGGTTAAAACTAGTCTTATAAATTAGTTTTCTCAAAAAGCTACCAATAAATAATTTAACTTTTATAGTTTTAGAATGTGCACATGAACTACTTTCAAAATCAAAAGAAAAATTTCATGGAATATGAAATAAGGTTTTAGGTCACCTTCAGGGTACCCGTGTAAACTCAACTGAGCATGCAATCTTTGACCTATCAAATAAGATAAGTAGATCATTTAAAAAAAAAAAAATTCACATTAGGGATCTTACTTGACTTCTCAAAGGCAATTGACACCACGAGATTTTACTGGAAAAAATGAAAAACTATGGCGTAAAAAATCAAGCTTTAAATTGGTTTAAAAACTACCTAAATAACAGACAACAGTGTGTTATTATAGATAAAAAAAGCAACTCAAGTTTAATGAGAACAAAATGTGGTGTACCTCAAGGTTCCATTTTTGCTCCTCTTTTGTTTCTTATTTATATAAACGATCTTCCAAATACCTCTAATATCTTTAAAGCTATAATGTTTGCCGACGACACAAACTTATTTTACTCAGCAAAGACAATTGAAGACCTTTTTGAAAAAACAAATGCTGAACTAAATAAAATTAATATATGGTTTAAATCCAATAAACTGTCATTCAATATAGAAAAAACTAAGTACATAATATTTCACTCTAATCAACAAATTAAAAAAATACCCCTAAACCTACCATTACTTAATATAGAAAGTATAACCATCAAAAGAGTTCTGAATACAAAGTTCTTAGGAGTTCTAATTCACGAACATATCTCCAGGAAACCCCACATAAACTACATTAACACAAAAATATCAAAGAATTAGTTTTTTTTTTATTGGTTTACTATACAAAGCAAGACCATTTTTGTCACAAAAAAGTCTAAAACTTGACTACTTTTCATTCATACATAGCTACCTGATGTATGCCAATATTGCATGGGGCAGTTCCCACAAAACTAAATTAGAACTACTTTACCTACGTCAAAAACAAGCTTTAAGACTAGTATACAACAAAAATAAATTTGCCCATGCTCAACCCTTATTGGAATAAATGAACGCACTAAACATATTTCAAATAAATATTTTTCAAAACATACTTTTCATGTTTAAATTTTCATGTTTAAATCTGGTTCCAGAACATTTTGCAGCACATTTTTTTAAAAACAATATAAATAAATACAATACAAGAGCAACAGGCAACTTTAAGATACCGTTTGAAACAACAAGATTCTCAAAATTCTCAATTACATATCGTGGTCCCTATTTATTTAACAAATTAGTTTCCAGAAACGAATCACTATTAAACCTAAACAACGAACACTCTCTGAAAATAAAGCTAAAATCTACAACAGTCAAATTAAACAACTATAATGATTTTTTTTTAATATTAATAAAAAAAATTTTAAAAAATGTAGCTTAACTTTTAATACAAATCGATAGTAAAAAATAATATTATTAATAACAAGGTATATATGTACAACATACATATATACCACGTATGCAACTGATTTTTATTTGTATTACACGTCCAGGAAAAGGTACTCGATGACAAGACTGACTTAAGTCTTCTGCAAGCTTCCTATAACTACTAACAA